ATAATCACGAGAAAATTCTCTAGATTTCATGTGCAATGGCGAACAGAAGAACTTGAGAAAATTAAAAATCGTTTAGATGCGCTAAGTACGATCATTGAAGTTACGCATGACCAATATTATAAAGATGTCTACAAAATAGTAAAATCTGAGTATATAGCAAAAATGGACAAAGCAAAAAAAGAGATGCATACGGAAAATACATACATTTCTCTGCGAATAGAATATCTGCTGCGTGGAGATTGGTAAAAGAGGAAACAAGTAAATCAAAAAACCCGAAATATACAAATAATTCTAATCTAAACGCGGATAAGCTGAACGATTTCTTTGTAAATATTGGAACCGCACAAATATACTCCTCTTCTAACATTGAGGAAACCACAATGCCACTCATAACTACCTCANATCTCACACAAACTGAAAGATGTTGGGTGGCACAGAATGGATATCCGCCGGGAGTTGCACAGTTTGGTTTTGTTTCATAAAATCGTCACAACACATATACCGACATACTTGTATGAGAGGATTACTTTTAAAAGGGCTAACAATGCTCTACAAACGAGATTAAAATATGGCATATATCCACCAAAATACAGAACCTCTTTGTTTCACAGGTCTTTTACGTATCACATATATAAGTCATATGGAACGCTACCGCCTATGATCAAAAAACTAAATATCATTAATTTCAAAAAAATACTATATAAAGATAAATTTTTGGAGCAATGTGCAGCCTTGTCATAGTTATTCATTTGAATGCATTTTTTTTTAACGTTCAGAGCAGGAGAGGGAGGAATATTCAAGAAATTGTATTGTCGTTGTCGTGGGATGCGTGTAGTATAATTAATATTAAGTTTATGTATGTGGTAAGGTTGGTTGAACAGATTATATCTGGAACCCGCCTATTGCACAATGCCATTTTTTTTTTCTTTTCTTTTTTTGTAGTGTTAGGTACTAAGTTTTTTGGTCTCTTGTTGTTAAACATTCTAGTTTAGAATATATCTACACTATAGATACAATTTTTGTTATTATTATATATATTTTTTCTTTTGTTGTATACAATGGTATGTGCAATAAAGACATTTATTATTATTATTATTATTATTATTTAATAAGAATTGGTTAAGATTATTAATAAAAGTTTGTTTAAAATTACTTAAATTAACCTTTTTTTTAGATTCCACCACCTTTTAAACCTCAGGTGGACAGTGATACAGACACCCGATATTTCGACTCGGAATTTACAGGTGAAAGTGTTGAATTAACCCCACCGGACAATGCCGGTCCTCTTAGTTCCATTCAAGAAGAACCTTATTTTCCTCAGTTCAGTTTCCAAAACCCCTCAACATTGGGCACTTCCGCTCAAATCAGCGGAAGTATCAGCAGTATCGCCCCCATGCAGTGACTTTGTAAAGTTAATATAAATAGGTATTTTCTTTTGGTAAGTACTGTACTTATTTTTTTAAGAACTGTAAATTTTTGAAAAGAAAAATGTTAAAAATAAGTTTTTTTGAATGAATTGTGATAGTAATTTTTTATATTGAGTTATAAAAAAACGTCAATTTACTTTAATTGCGTTACAATAACTGATGAAACAACTAAAAAAAAAATTAAGCACAACCCACGGCATTTTGATTGTCATCATCTTAAGGTGTTCATTAAAAATCTACAGTGTGTTCGAGAATGAGTTGACATGGTGGATTTAGATATTAAAACTTTTAGAAAATAATTTTGAATATTTTGTTTAAAAAAAAAATTATGTTCCTTTTTTAAATATCGTTTAATTAATTTTTCAAGTGGAAAAAGTGTTTGTCAGTCATATATGAACTCACTGCAGGTTTGTGTAAATATATAATTATACATTTCCGAAAGTAAATAAACTAAAAAATATATATATTATATAAATATGTGGACGTGGAGTGAATATAAATGATAGTAATAATAATATATCTAGTTTTAAATTTCTTTATACTTTGTTTATGACCACTTTTTCAACTTTCTTTTGCTTTATTTTAAACACTATTTGGCATTTTAAAATCGTGTACTCAAAAAATATGTGTATATTAAAAAAGAAATGTATACGAAAGTACTATAAACACTGTAAGAGTTTAGAAAACTTGTTGATTTGTTGTTAATTTTTTCGCTTTCCTTATAAATGTAAGAGTTAAAAAAAAAGAGTAAGAAAGAGAATGAATGGTTTTAAAAAATAAGAGAATGAGTGAGCGAAAAGTGAGGGTTTGTTAATATATTATTATAGTTATTATATTGTTGGATGCATACATGTAAACGGAATGTATTTTCGCTATTACTTTACATTATTGCTTTTTAGTAAGTCAAAAAATAAATAAAATAAAATAGTATCAAGTTTTTATATTTTTGCCTTAATGAAACTAACCCTATAACGCTAAAAAATCATGTTAATAATACTGTTGAAGAATGTAGTTTGTATGTATGTAGGAGAGCGGAGGGTATGCTTCCGCATACAGCACCTAGGCCCCAACGGGCCCCTTGTACGTCCTCCTACACTCTCTCCGGCTACATCAACCAGCCTAAGAAATTTCCGAAGGCTAGGATACAGCTCAGAGGTGTGTTCCTGATGCCATCTGTGGTCGGCCATTCCTCTCCGAAGTCTCTCATTCTGAGGTCTTGCAGAGTGGGGCATTCACACAAGATGTGTCGGACCGTNATAGCAATAAAATTATACAATGCACTGCCAACAGAAGTAAAGGAAATGAATCACAAAAGGTTTAAAAGCACAGTGAAGAAAATCCTACTGGAAGGAGAATTTTATTCTATAAATGAATTTATAAATTTTGAATTGTAATTTTTTATTTTTTTCTTTTTCTTTTTTGTGACGATATTTTGTACGCTCTTTTGTACCTTATTGAATAAATAAAATATAAAATATATAAAATATGAAAATTCCATTTAAAGTTGGACCTTTCTACAGTAAACCCTCGATATAGCGAACACGCAGGGAGGAAAGCAAACCGTTCGTTATAATGAGGTGTTTGTATTTTCGATATAACGAACTAATTCGTTATAATGAATGATAATGGGTAGGCTCTAGGGGTAGGTTTACGTAAATATATTAGCATCGACTGTGTAATAAAGTAATAAGTTTAATATAATAAGTACCTACATATCATAATAAACATTATTTTTTTTGAAAATAATCACTTATTATTTTTTGCATCAGAATGGGCGTTGTTCCTCTTAGTAATTTTATTCAAAGAATCCATGAAGTTTTCAGAAACATTCTCTCCTGAATCAGCAAATCTTGAAATTGTGATGTTAATAATTACATAGTTGAATGACTAATAATATTTGTGTTACCTTTGGATTGTATAGAGAGCGGCTAAAACTTCAGCTCTTGAAGGTGCTATTATATTAACTTCTTCTTCATCGCGTTCTTCGCCTTCTTCTTTTTCTTCGGTTTCTTGGTCTACATTCACTACTGCTAAGTCTATGTTTATTGCTTCTGTAGTCGTTATCGCACCATCAACGCTGACGTAATCATTAAAACTAACCTGTATCAGTTGAACTGACATGATTTGTTGATAATTTTCCCAGTCTACATCAGCAAATTCAACCTATCAATCAGTAAAAAGCTACTAATGAGCTACATCACGAATCTGACAACGCTCTCATCGCTTGTAAAATATTCCATTTTAGCTTTTCTTGGTTTGATTCTATTGCTAAAATTGCTGGTCTAACAAGTTGTGCACGATATCGTTTCTTCATAGCCGCAATTATGCCTTGATCAAGAGGTTGCAGTGCACTTGTTGCGCAAATAAATTCCCATAACGTTATGTGCTGGACAATTGTCCATTGTTAACAACACTTTTGTGTCTATAGCTGTCATATTGCGTTGAAAATGAAGAAACCATTCTCGAAATACTACATAACTTACCCAGGTATTTTTCTGAGCAGTATAATAACATGGCAAATGGGAACGATCCAATTTATTTAAACATCTTGGATTTTTTGATTTTCCTACTATCTAAACTGCTGTTATTTTTTCTTTGCTTTTAGTGCCCACATAAAATTTTTTGAATTTAAAATCCAAAGTACGGTTTGGTATTAGATTAAAAAAAATACCAGTCTCATCAATATTAAAAACATCTTGGCTTCAACCCGAAACGTTCGCGAAACAAGTAAGTCGTAACTCGTCCACTTCCAAAGCTAAACACTAAAAACTAGCTGGAATATGGTCTAGACTGAGTAGACAAGAAAAATGTTCGTGTTCGCAAATACGATAATAGTTTGCATTGAAATTATATTCTACGTATGAAATTTCGTTATAATGAAAAAAGTGCCATATAAAATGTGTTGAAGACATTTGTGGCATAATTTTGGTTCGCAATAACGACAATTTCGTTACATCGGTGTTCGCTATATAGAGGGTTTACTGTATAACTTTCTACTACCATAGCAAGAACAATTATGACTACAGGCTATGCAATCTTTATTATAAATATGAATCTCATTAAAATTTTGTGGGTAATTGTAAGTTTGGAACGTTAAAAAGTGGGATTTCGGGCGATTCAAGGACAGATAATTATTACCCAGCCAATACTTAATAAAAGACATATGTCTACTATCAGCGTCATACCATGAAACTACGGAAACTAGAAGAACCGTGTCATCGGCGTACGACAACAAATGTTCATCTATAAATCTATGAATGAATAAGTCGTTAATACTTACCAGAAAAAGCATAGGACCCAGGATTGATCTTTGCGGCACTCCGCACGAAACATTGCGACTATCGCTGTGTCGTTGATTTATAGTAACAACCTGTGATCGATTAGCTAAATAAGAACGGAGAAGATCAAGACACTCCCACCATAGCCACAGCATCAAATGCCTTTGCTAAACCAAAAAAAAAATCTATAATGGCAGTAGATGCATCTAATGCATCACAGACTTCTTGGTGAATATAGCAAATGCAAAACAGTTTCTTGACAAAAACTGTATTGACAACTTGATAGAATGTTGCAGAAATTTAAAACGTACAATAATATGCAATGATGCATGATGTCAGCGAGATGGGTTTATAAGTTGTTAGTTCTGTGACAACCTGTTTTATGTGTAGGAATAACATGGTTTTTTTTAGAATATGTGGAAAACATCCCTGCGCTAAGCACTCATTTATTGAAATTGATAATGGAGCAAAGATAATCTCTTTTATTTTTTTTATTATAGTTTCTGATAGGTTATGTAAGTACGTCTCTAAGTACAGGTGTCCGCTGGAAAGGTATACTACTTTGTTTGTTTATAATTTTTGATTAAATGAAAGAGAATGGATCTTATATTGATAAATGTTTTATTTAATGTCGGCAATTATGTATGGAATACAATATCAGATAAATGTCCGCCTCTGTTAGCCTCACAAATGCGAGCCCTTTTGAGCACATTTTTCATTACACTCTCATGGGCGAGCTCATGAGAATGTAATGCGCGATCATGGATGATCCTATTGGCATATGTACGGCGGCGTAAATGGTCTTCTGGAAGAAGCTCTTGTGTCAACTCAATCTTAAATGGAAACAAATGTTTTTTGATGTTTTTGATCAAAAGTTGTTTTTTGAAGACCAAGCTCCTGAGCACGGCATCGAATTGAGGTTGATGGATTGTTTTGAACACTTTCTTGAGCAGCAGTAATGTTTTCAGCCGATATTGCAGAAAGTCCAAGATTGATCGTGTTGTTTTCTTGTGGTCCATGCTTGGGCCTATCAGCTACAGTCCCTCTTTCTTCGAAATCATTCACTACACGATAAATAGTGCGTCTTGTTGGCACGTTATTTCTCCCAAAAATTTTACGTAACTTTCTCATCGTCGCAGTAATCGATGATTGATTTTGATAAAATGTTTTAACGATTAAAACACGTTGGTTTACCGAATATTTTTCTATAATAAATTTGCCACGTCTTTACTTCACGACTGCCAAATATGAATTGTCAAGACTAATGTTTACCAAAATGGCGGCAAAACAAAGTAGTATACCTTCCCGGCGGACACCGGTATATGAACTGACCTTTAATGACTCAATTTGTCAATAACTTCACTTTCAGTAGTCGACTTCCAGAACAAACTTTTAGAATTAGTGCTTATGTTATGTTTAAAGTTCTTGTCGTTGTGGGTTATACTCCGCGCAAGAGTGTCTCTGACAGATAAGAAATATGTTTGCTTTAAAATGTTCTCCTACTTCATGATGATAGAGATTCTCTATTCGGTGTCGAGATATGATTTTTTTACATTTATATTTCATATCCTAACAATCAAGCATACAGAGTTGCAATTAAAAAATCATAATAATGATGTTTATAGAAAATAAGAAATTGTGTATGGTGTATTAAATCTGTATTAAATTTGCTTTAAAATGCTGTTAATTTCGTCTTTACATCTCAAGTTTTTCTTAGATACGATATTTTAGTAAATGGAAACTGATTAATAAATCTATAAACGTTGATTATTAACCGTTCGGCTGTCCCACTGACAACAACTGTTCTAATTGATTGACTTTATTTATTATCACAAAGCTCATCTCATTTATAAAGTACTTTTTGTAAATAACATATCAGATGTTTACATTTTGTGAAGTCATCCAAATCTATAACCTCAGACACCACTACGATTATGTAGACAGGTTTTGATCTGTTCTAATATGTTGTCCTTATAACGTTCAGAAGTGTATATCCTTAGTATCACGTAGTATAAAGTCTGGTTCCGTTGCGGACCAGACATAAAGATAGGAAACCACAAGCACTTTAGATTATTAAAAGATTTATTAAACAAAATAGTAAGTGGATTTGCGAGTGATGAATAACAATTTTTTATTAATAGCACCGTCCATCGCACCATCGATGCGTAAGACTCCAAAATTTTTAGCAGCGACAACGTTACCAAACCTAGCAGGTCTAGCAGTGGGGGTTTTCTCACATATTATAAAATAATATAACCAGTATTTTTTAGAAAAAGATTTTGTATTTGTAAAATAAAAAAATTGACTTCCTTTTTTGCTGAAATCTATTCAATAATAATAAAAAATGAATTTATACCGTAAAATAACCGATTTCTTGATTTTTTAAAAAGTTGTAAAATCAATGTGGCAGGGAATATGTGCAACGCCACAAGCAGCAACCATGGTTGCAGTAAAAACAGATTAAATATAGTTTAGCAACAAAGAGCAATCATCACCATAGAAAAGACCAAAAATTCTTTGGATTACGTGCAATATTAGACTCAATACGATTAATATAGTTTTTGTAATCAGCATGAACAAGAAATTTTGCACGATGCCTTAATAAAGAAAAAGTTAAATAACTAATTATCAATATCTTTTATAATCCACCTCTTCAGACAACTTCCTCCCTATAGAGTCTTTTTCATCTTTTTTTAGTCCATATGCCCAGACTTCCTCTTATTCTATCAAAATGCGTTCAGTTCTTCTCTTATTACGAGTCTGTTTTTTAAATTTTTTTCTTTCTGACACTCTCGTTCTAGTTTCTTGGCATCTTTTTTTGTTAACAGTCTTCTTCCAGTCTCCCCTCTTTTTACAGATTCACGTTATTCTCATTACAATCCCTATTCATTTTCATTCTTCTCTTGCAGTTACAGTTCAGTATTTTTCCTTCAAGTTTCAGTTCAGTCTCTTTTTTTCTGTTACCAGTCCCGTTCCAGTCTTCCTCATTTTACATAGTTTCTGTTTCTCATTACAATTCGTATTCACTATCTTTCTTCTTTTTCCAGTTGCTGTTCAGTACCGTTTTAGTCTCTTTCTGCTCGGTTGCCTCTCTGTCTTTCCAGAATGTCTTTATTTATTTCTTTTATTACAAATTTTTTTCGGAATTCCTTCTTTCTGAGTCTCATTCTTCCCATTCTTTCCTCTCTATGAGTTTCTCATTCTAGTTTCTATTTAGCTTCTTATGACTCCTTTTTTTCTCCTTCGCTTTAAAGCAGGGGTGGCCAACCAAAACGATCTTGCGGGCCACTTTGAAAATATTTTATAATCTCGCGGTCTGCATAAAAAATTTTTTGAGTAAATATTTAAAACAGAATGATTTATTGTTATTGTTTTTATTATTACTCAAAGATACATATGATGGATAAACATAGATAATATAATAATAAAACGATTAACAATAATTATATTTTATTTAATTAGTGAGATATTTGTTTTTCAACTCTTTCACTTAACTTTAGCAAATCTATATCTATGCGGGTATTTGCACATCGTAATTGGTGTTGTAGGTTTTCGTCTGTCAAGTTCGATCGTGATTTATGTTTGGTGAATTTTAATTTTGAAAAAAACGATTCACAGGTATAAGTTGATCCAAAAGCACTCACAACTTTTTGTGCCAAATTTCTCAAATTTGAAAATTTTTCTTTTGTGATATAAATGTTATAAAAATCTATTTTAGATTCTACCGTTTCAAAAATTTGTTTTAACTGACTATTGCATTGTAAGTCAATCAGTTCCATTTGGAGATATTCTGGGGCCGACTCGACCTCAACATGAAAGGGAGATGAATATATTTCAAATATTTTGTTGTATTTGTCCAAATTAGTGAAACGACTCTCAAAAGCAGCTGCAAGTTTTCTTATTTCTTTTGCATATTTAATGTAATTGTTACATTTTGAATTTTTCAAATCTTTTAACAATGGAAAGTGTTGAACGTTATTATTTTTCAATTGAGATTCAAATAACAATAATTTCTTCTGAAATGCTTTGATGTGATTAAACATATCGATTATTAAATTATCTTTCCCCTGTAATGATATATTTAATTGATTGAGTTTTTCGACAATATCCACTAAAAAGCATAAATCCAATAACCATTCATCATTTCTTAATTCTGGTACTGGTATTTGCTTATCATTCATAAACAAATCAATTTCTTGACGTAACTCATAAAATCGCTGTAAACATCTTCCACGACTTAACCATCTGACATGACTGAAGTATACTACGTCACCATATTCAGAATCCAATTCTTTCAGGAACTCCTTAAATTGTCGGTGAGGAAGTGCATGTGATCGAATGTAATTAACTGTTTTTATGACTACTTGCATAACATGATTCATCGATAATACTTGGGCACATAGATTTTGTTGGTGAATCAAACAGTGGATTATAAATAAATCATCTCTTTTACAGCAATTATGAGTTTTGTTCTTGGATTCTATTTTACCGATCAGTAATTTTATAGCTCCCTTATCTTTGCCGATCATAGCAGGCGCCCCATCTGTTGATATTCCAGTAAGAATTTCCAAACCCAAGTTGTTTTCGCGTAAACAGTTTTCAACAGCATGGAAAATATCTTCACCTTTTGTAGTATCTTTCAAACTTATCAAGCTTAACATTTCTTCAGTTATTTCAAATGATTCATTTATTCCACGAACGAATACTACAAGTTGAGCTGTATCTGAAATGTCTGTACTTTCGTCGAATGCTAAGGAAAAATATTTGAAATCTCGAATTCGATCGCGCAGTTTTACAATAATTTCATTTGAAATGTCATTAATTCGACGACACACTGTTTGCCGGGACAGACTTATATTCGAAAATAGTTTACTTTTATCAGGAACAATATCCTTTGCTACAGCTTCCAAACATTCTTTCACAAATTCACCATCCGAAAATGTTTTCATTTTTTTTGCTATCAAGAATGAAACAGAATAGCTTGCCTTAACAATATTGAAAGGTTGCTGTAAAGCTGAACCAAACATTTTTTGTTGAGTTCTTAATTGTGACTTTAATTCCTGGAGCTTCGATTGTTTCACTTCTTTATCGAATTTCAAATAATCATTGTGTTTTGTTTCGTAGTGTCTTTTAACGTTATAATCGTTAAACACAGCGACGGTTTCTCGACAAATTAAACACATTAATTTTGTGTTTTGAGTTATAAAAAAATACTTTTCTTCCCATTCATCGCTATACCTTCTATTTTCGTCCACTATTTTTCTTTTCTTTGCACTCATACTGATAATTAGAAGGAAATAAAAAAAATAAAATAATTTAATTAATTTTTAATTTAATGGAATTTGTATTACCTGCTTTCACACAAAACGAAACTGGAAAACAAATTATCAACTAGCACTGACGCACTTCAATAGTCAAAGTGAGCGGACAGATTATAACGCCGTTTTTTACACACCCACCGGCAAACAAGGACCTAGCCAGGCATTGCAATAGGGGGGTTACTCAAAAGGGTTTTTGAAAGACAATAAATAAACAATAAAAGAAGTCGAATTTTTAGGGATAGGTTCTCTTATTATAACCGATTTACAATGAGGATATTGGGGCTGGACTTCCAGGCGCCAAGTATTTAACTACTTCCACATGTTGACAGTATTTCTTCTAAAGCTCCATAAATAACCAGATCTAACTTTTAAAAATAAAATTATCAAGCTCCTTTTTTTCTTTTACATATAATTTGTTATTAGCTGGTAAATTTAGGTTGTTTTTATTGGTAAATTAATAAATCTCGCGGGCCGCAAAATTATCCGAGGCGGGCCGCGGGTTGGCCTGCTTTAAAGGGTCTCTTTTTCAGTCTATTTCTTCTATTACGAGTCCTTTTTCAGTCTCCCTTCTTTCTGATCAGTTTTATTTCTTCTTTTTAAAGTTTCTCTCCAGTTTTTTCCTTTTGTTATCAGCTTTTCAGTCTACCTCCACTCAGTCTTCCAGTCACCATTCTTTCTGAATAATCTCTTACCTCTACTATTAATTAGCTAAACGAATGAATTTTTGCGTCACGTTTTGCAATCTTCATCTACGATGGCCATCATCCGATAGCAATAGCAAAGAAAACCGATATTTAGTTTTCTTAATGCATCATCCTTGTAATCTTCTTCGATCGTCCTAACTTC